TTTTTTTTTTTTTTTTTTTTTTTTTTTTTTTTTTTTTTTACTTAGAGTGTTGCTTTGATTCTTTAATGTATGTTTGAGAAATCCTTGAATTTCCCATGGCAACCATTCAGACGTGCAAAACGTTTGGGGTACCGAGCGGCGCCTTTGAGACGCAGCTCCTCGTCTGGTCTGCGGTCTCCAAGCGCCTCTGTCCAGTGACTCCTCCAGACTAGTGACAGCAGCAAATAGCTAACACTTGGTGCAACTGCGCATCTCCTGAGCTCATCATGTGAACTACTTCTCAGTATAATGTTCCTAGGAACATTATAAACGGCATAATGAGGAAAATTATTCTGATGACATGATGAAGGCAAAGAGTCGGGAAGATTAGGAGCTTCTTAAAGAGGCAGAGGTCCAATTTCAAGGCATCGAGTCATGTTTGAAATATAGAGCATTTTTAGAACAACTCAAAGATACAGGTGCAAAGATATAGGTGCTTGGTAAAATGGTATCATTTTATTTACTGCCCCTTTAAAAACAAACTGTTTCAAATGAAACAAATCAGTCATTTCCACATGCACACGTCATGAGGAGTTGCAGGTAAGACATGCTGAGGCTCAGACTCTGGTTAATGGTAGGAATGGAGCAGGATCATGTTGTCACAGCAAAGCATATAAACAAAGAACCTTTGTAATCTATAGAGGCCATTTATCTAACAGGATTGCCCCTGTCTGATATTTTTGTTCTTTTCTCTGCTCCGCTCACTCTTGTGGCCTTATTGGGATCGTGACACTCAGCAGTATTTGGAAAAGATTAGATCAGGCCGAGGCTCTGACCTGGGAAAACCCGCAAGCTGCTTTCTGAGACATTACATCATCCGCAGTGAACCCGCAGTAGGATTACATCTCAGGGACATAGGCAGGGAAAGGGATAATCATCATGGTGGCAGCAGGTGCGCCATCTTTGGCCTGTACTGATGTGCTGGGATTATCATTACTCAAGTGTCCCAGGGGTTAATAGGGCTAGAGGACAGGGTTACGTTAACTCCTCCTTTAGCCAACTAGAGGGTCATGTGCTCAATATGCAGATTGTAGGGCAGAGTCAGGTTAAGACGTTACAGAAGACTGTTTTCACGCACATAAACCGCAGTTTTAAGTATCAAAATCCAGATATTAGCTTCATTTGAGTCCACAGTCGTGACTTTTACCGCGTTTCGATTAAACGTTGCATATTATAAAGTGGTGCTGCCTTTAAAAAAAAAAAAAAAACTTCCCAAAATCTGCGTACAATCACAATCCCTCAAGCCAGCCTGGCAATGGTTCATCAAGGTGACAGCAAACCTTTCTGGAATCTGCACCGTCTGCTCTGGGATTAATATAAAATATTTTTCATGTCTGCGTATGAAATAGGAGTGTGAGCAGCTCCAGAAGAAGTATGCTGCCCAGCAGGATGAACGCTTCCTTGAGCACACCCAGCAGCAGCACATCCTGTACCAGCAAGAGCAACAAATCCTTCACCAGCAAATCCAGGTATCTGTTGATCACATTAAATATTCTGATTTAGTTCACAAAGTAACACCAAGATGCAGCAATAAAGCCAGAAGCCCCGTGGGGGAATAGTTCAAACTATTTCCCACTGACTGAGGTACATCTAAACGTCTCAGCGCTACAAACAGATGGCTTTTGTTTGATAATGTAGGTTTTTATGTACGATTTCAGAAGACATGAAGCCTAATATGTTCTGTGTTTTTTTTTATTTTTTATGTTGTAATCAGACATTTAAATATATTGAAATTTCAGTTGACAAACAATCAGATACTGGACCATTGAATTAGAGTTGGGTAATGAATCAGAAATGTCTAGCATGTATGTAATCAATATCAATAGAATATTCAATAATTTTGTATATATTTATATATACGCAGCTTTTTCACGGCCAGATAGCCATCAGCTTACTCACTCTTTGGTTACCTAGCAACAACCTGTTGAGTAACTTGCGCAGCAGCAGTTTCTGATTTCACCACCTCACAACCGTCTAAAAATAATAAAAACAGGTCACATCAGTTTGGCAGTATTTCAGATATTTAAAAGAAAAAAAAAGAGTCAAGAATTATCTATCAATGATATATGACCTTTATATCATGAATTATTTAGCCATGTTGTCCAGCCCTGCATTGAATTCACCAAACAGTTTTTTTTTTAAGTTATGACCTTTAAAGCAGGGTTAGAATATGAAACCATATTCTTAGCTTTGGACATTCAGCCCTGTTCAGTCCATCATCTTAAAATAGAAAGGCAGGACACAACAGCTAACCTGACACCATTAGTAGTGGCAGCGGTAGCTTTGGAGGAGCTGCAGAATTCAGCATTCGAATGTAGGAATTTGTCGACTACGTTGCTCTTTTGGGGCGAACAGCAAATCGAAAACGCTTTTTGAAAGAAATCTAATCAAAGTCCCATTTGTTGCTTGGACAGAAAGGACAGAAAACCAAAATGTAGCTCACTGTAAGACGCTATGTAGGTGACATATTTTGTTTTGCGTTTCGCCAACAGGGTCTGTCTTTAGGCCATGGAGAGAGCCAGCCCAGTCACTTAACCCACCAGCTCCAGAGGTGAGCAAACACACATTACTCATCAGCTATTGAACGGTGAACAATGATGCTGTGATGCAGCAATATCGACTGAAGTGTTACATCACTGCTGTCTCTTCCTGGCCCGTCCTCCCTCAGGTTGCACATCCAGCCCTCCAGCCCTCCGCCAACACATCCCAGCAACCACCTCTTCAGACAGCCCAATCAGAGTTCTCCGCCTGGCTCTGCAGGCCTAATGCAAGGGCATGGTTAGTAATGGGGCTTTTTTTTGGTTGTATTTTTTTGGGGGGGTTTGACACAAAAATTTGGTGTAGGTGCAGTGACTAAGCAGAAATGCTGCAATGCACTGCAGATCACTTACGAGAGCCAGAGGACTGGCCGATTTAACGTTCCACTGTTCTGCTTTAACTGTCCTGTTATATTTTAGCCGTGCATCTATTATTCATGGGTAATTACCCTTTAGGCAATTACATTCTGTTTGTTTTTTTATTAACATTAATTAGAAGTAGGATTAAAATGAGGTGGGATGCATCAAGGTTTTCAAGTTTTTATTGTCCTTCTATAAACACTTTCGTGTGGTAATTCTTCACATTATCATTAGTAATGCATGAGGCATGAAGGCAAAGCTTTTGCTTACTGGATAAAATTTTCAAACTGGCAAAACAGGCAAGAAAACACTAGATGTTAACGCATAATCTTATGCCAATGTTGAAATTATATTCCAGTGCTATGGTTTCAGTCTTCATGAGAACATTCTGCTACATTAAGTGGGGAGACAAATATCTCGGATAATCAAAAGTTCTTCTTCAACATGCCCTGGGTATATTTTGTCTTCTTGAAATAATACAAAAAAACCATTAAAAGCTTATTTTTATCACCATTTGCACCACTTTCCCTACTTAGTTGTCTCCAGAAACTACGGAAAAAGATATTTGATATTTGGAAATATGATTTTTAATCTTACTGACAATGTCAGATGAGCTCAGATGGTGCTTTTGTTCTCCCCTCTCTCAGGGGCTCAGTCATCGGTGCAGTACCAACACGGTGCTCCAGCGCTGTACCAGGGACAAAGTGGCAGCCCGCCCCCCACCGGCCTGCCTCGAGTCACTCTCCCAGCCAATCCGCAGACGGCACCCGGCCGCCCCGCCGTCCCACTGGCGCCGGGCGTACCGCAACAGCAGCAGGTATCTACTACCAACAGCCAAACCAGTCACTGAAGGTTGAGTTCAGTGTGTGGGGAGGCCTCACTCTCTGCTGCTGCTGCTGCAGGTGACCATTCAGGTGCAGGATGTGGAGCTGGGAGGAGGGGCACAGAGACCAGGCAGCTTCCTGTCCACACCGGGCGGACACAGAGTCCTCGGGAAGCAGCTCAGCGCAGACAACGCCGAGACGCACAGGTGACCCCTCTGAACAGCCAGTCAGCGCGCCCCCTGGTGGCTACCAACATTACCCAATGGACTGTTACAGTGTCTTCTTCTGCAGCCTTACAGTTTTTTTTTTATTATTATTATTTTCTTTGAGACAGATCTGATTGTTAAAAAAAATGTAATTACTCTTTGTTCTTTTATGAATTTAATGACTTTCTTTTTTTTTTCTTGGTTATTGACATTGTGGACACAGTTACTGTGTTTTTTTGTTTTTTTTTTTTATACTTGGATTTTAACGTTTGAAGCATCCATCATGTTTCTCGGAGGTTTTAAGATGTGTGTATGTGAGAATGAGCATCATGTTTGTTACCATTTAAAAAAAAAAAAAAACAAAGATGCATGTAAATCTTCATCATCATTGATTGCTGAGAGATCATCAACTAACTCTCCACATCAGTGTGTCTGGGTGAGTGTTCAGATATGAGTGTGACCTAACCAGTGGATTAGATCAGTCACCTTGTGAGCCCCTTAAACTCTCTATTATTGTCAGGACCGTCTTCACTGAGAGACTGTATTGCCCAGTTAAAATGTTGGCTTTGTTTCTATACTCCTCAGTGAAAACGTGTACTCTGGCCAGACCGAAAGTGTTTGCTAGGCTGTGTGTGTTGAAGTTTTATAGATTATTGTAAATGGTTTCCACTAGGCATGGGCCAGTTGCAAATCCCAAGGTCTTAAACAGATATTGTTTTAAGGTGTTACATTTTTTTTGTCATACTGTCCCTATGGTTTAAAAACCTATTAAAGAAATGCCAGAGAATATACCAATGTGAGTTTTCTCCTGCCACGTGGAGCAGAGATCATCACAGCGCTGCACACTGCCAATCAACTGGCTGAAAGAAGCCAGCGTCACTTTTCTCTTACTCACATGAAAGACAGATTCTGTCTGAACTAAAATCTGGTACACACCCAAACATTTAACTAGCTATTATCAGCTTTAATGCTACCAGTGTTTAATGCTGTATCAAACCAGACAGGCTAAAATGGAAAACGATAGCATCATTCTTACATTGAGTAATTGAAGTCGCTTTAAAGAGAAATGGAGCAGAGAAAATTAAACGGAGTGAATTCAAAGAAAAATAAAGTAATTTAAATTAAAATTTAAAACAAAAAAAAAGGTTAAGACATGAAGTGATTAAACAGTTTTTGACTTTTAAAAAGTGAAACGGTAAATGGCATCCACGGTTCGTTTGAAAAGTCACAAGGTTTTCACTGAGTTGACTCGGACGCTGAGGATGAGACGTGACTTACGTCCGACAATCCAATGTACTGAGGTGAAAATCTTGTGCACACTGCTTCAGTCACTGCAGTGGTTTGTGGTGAGGGAGTAACGCAGAAATATAAAGTGATATTAAGAGATGTAGTGGAGCATAATCTGGACCAGGGAGAGCCTGTAGATGCTAAATAAAAGTGGTTCAAAAGGTTCCCCACCTGTCATTTTTGTTTGCACTGATTCATCACTTTTCAGGTCACTCAAAAACGCTTTACATGAGATGAGTCATTCTCATTCACGCAACCATTCAAATGCTGATGATGGCAAGCTACTGGATGATAGCCACAGCTGCTGGGACATGATTACCAAAGGATGCAAAAATAGTGCCAGTCTGCCAAATAAAAGTTGAGCCAAGCTCCTGTTGATTGCTGATAATTATCAGTATTAGATATTTTTTTTCAGCAACATTCAAGATTTTCTTTTTTTTTTCTTTTTTTTTTTAATAAAAGCAATTAAATCATTGTGTTGATATTGTAAAACTGGGGTATTTTTTTTTTAATGTAAAATGCAAATTCAAAAATACTTTATTGATCCCCAAAGGGAAATTAAAGATGAACTGAAACTAAATAAGTCTAGAAATAAAAACCAATGAGAATGTGATGCTGACCCATGCCTTGTGTCCATTCTGTGTGAAAACTTTACAATGTTGTTGTTTGTCGCTAACCTTCCTGTTCCTTCCTTCCTGTTCAGCCGCAGCCTCGGCCGTTTCACCTCCGCCTACGACCAGGCCCATTTCAATCCGCACCTCTTCTCCGGCGACGCTGCCTCTCGGGGCGCCTCCGGAGTCGTCGGCTCCTACAACCCCTACCTGCAGGCTGCCTCCCTGAAAGTCCCCGGCCTGGAGGGCTACCAGAGCGGGGCTGTGGGGACCGGCAGCTACGGGACCCCCTCCACACTACAGCAGGCCCTGCTCTCCCCGACTCCTTTGGACTACCGCCCCCCGCAGCAGCACGTCACCCCCACCCTGCAGGGCCTCCTGTCTCCTCGGCATTCTCTAACGGGCCACGCGGACCCCAGGTTGCCACCGCAGGACTTGGCTGCCCTCCTGAAGAGACAGAACCTCCGGCAGTGCCCTGCGCCCCAAACCCCGCCCAGCGGTGCAGCACAGGAGTTTGGAGAAATGCTGCTCCTCCGCCAGCTGAGCCCGGGAGACACCCTGGAGCCCCCCGTGGCTCAGCCTGCCTCAGGGGGTCAACACTACCACCATCTCCTCCAAATACAGCCCCCAGAGGTCCAGCAGCAGCCGCAGCACGTGACGCAGGCGCCGTGTCCCAGTTTACCACACTCGGAGAGCATGGAAGAGGACGAGGCCCCTGCTGGATACCACCACCCGCATGAAGGCCTGCTGGCTAAGGCAGGAGACGCACATGAGCTCCTGGGGGCCCCCCGCGGTGGCACCCCACCTTACAACTCCCCTACACACAGGCACGGTGCTTACATAAGGAGTCCCCCTGCTTCAAGAGGTCAGACTGGTTCTTCAAAAGCGACATCTGTTCAATCAACAATTCAGCTCTTAAACAAGTGGCAGTTTTCTCCTTTGTGTCAACAATGTCTTCATATGACCTCTTCTCGTTTTAGAATCTGAGCATGTAGAGTGCCGGCCCCAAGGACAGGCCATGGAAGTGCCTGATCACAACGGGCTGAACTATCAGCGAGGCCCTCAAAGCGAAGTGTACAGATCTAGAGGGCAGCTACAGCGTCACCACACCATTCAGACCTGTGATGATGCCTACGTGAGTGAACTTCCGCTCAGGTTCCTCCGGTTGCATCGGAAACAAACCAATTTGTTTTGTTCTTTTTGGTGAAGATGTGCTAAACCTCTTAAGATAAATGTGCTTCTATTTTAAGATGCATAATTTTACACTGAAGCATTTTCGAAACTGTAGCCTCTTATACAGATTCATGCAGTGTTATGAAAAAATATTTAAAATTCACAAGCACCCCTGCTGCCAACCCCTATTAGGACTCCGTTTACTGTCACTTTGTCTACGTAGTTTCTAGTCCAGATATCATAATTTTGTTTTATAGGAACTTGTTTTAACTTAATTTCTTAATATTAATTAAAAAGTAGTTCCACTGGCATATTACTTCACTCATAACATGTGAAAAATGTCTTGTTTTAAGTGTAAACAAGCTAGTGAAACTAGTACATTTCGTCAACAAAAAGGGATTACTGACTTTGAAAGCTCTGAAGCTGAAAAGTTACTTATATGTCAGTTTTGTCTGATTCCAAGTGTACTAAGATATTTTTGCAAGTAACTAGTCAAGGATATGTGGTAAGATTTAGTCTTTTCATTATTTTAACAAGCTTGGAGCTAAAAGAGAGAGATGGATCTTTTCATTTCTCTTCACACAACCCATCCAGATGCTCCTGATTCCTCTCTTCAAGCTCACCAAAGGAGAAATGCAGGATTTAGTTCTGGAGACTGTGATGGTTGATTTATGAGTTGATTTGGTCTTTTTTTTTTTTTTTTTTTTTTTTTTTGGGGGTTTTTTTTTTTTAAAACCCCCATTTCCGTTAGGATTTTAAAAGATTTTTTTTTAAATTTTG